GTCGATGAAACAGAAGACGCTTACTCTTCCGGAACATAACCAAGATGACATTTCAGTAAGGAAAAGCATTCACATGAAATAATCTAATGATTCTTTAAACTGTAAGATTTTTCTTCTTTAAATTTTAGCATTTAGAACTGCAGTTTTTTAACATGTTCAACAGACAGCAATTTACACCCATGGAGAGATACCACTTCACGTAAGACATCCTTTTTTATGATACAAAATGAAACTTACAGATATCGTTCAATATTCACTTCACAATAGCTATAAACAAGCAAACGGCAATTTTGAAGGTTTTGTATTTTTTGTGTGAAATTGAAATATTCCATTTAAGAGCTATAAAAAGCTCATATTCCAACGAATTCATACTTAGACACTATTGTGTTTGATTTCTATGAATATTCTATTCCATATTTGAAATGCGACCAAAGACAAAATATTCGACATTTGAATGCTTTTCAGAAATACAGCAATACCCATGGTACTTTTTCTCGATAATAAGTCTGTATTGTACAGTTATTGGCCATGCAATAACGGTGTTTGCGAATTCTGATTGTTACACAAAAAATGTTTATGTTCTACTTCAAATTTTTGAAAGTATTCTCCCCAGTTTATTTACATGGCTTTTCTGCAATGCATATACCATTCAATATGATGAAAAAAAATTAAATAGAACATAAAGGATTTTTTTGCATTATATTTGAAGTTTAACATTAAAGCGAAAAGAAGAACCAATTATTTTCTATTTTTGCCCTTTTTGTAATAAAGGCATTTTGTCTGTCAGACCATTACACAAATGAATATGATATAAGGTATGGTATATTTAGGTACTTTTCTTTACAAGTAAATTTTGCAATAATGAAAGGTACATTTTAAATCAAGGTGACCGCCTAATTTTGTTTTGTTCTTATTATGGGTAATCAAAGCGAATATTGATGCGTTCACTAGGTTGATGTAGAATATTGAAAGTGTGATATATTACCCATGTACTATTTTCCTGATTTATTGTAATTCATTTTATGGAGGATTGTCAATTAAGGGAAATTAAACATTAATATGAACAAACTGTTTAGAGAACTGACATGCTACAGTAAATGCCTTGACGTTTTAACGTGTAAAACTACCTGTAATCCCATTGTTTTATAGAATCTATAAACAATTCAACACGACTATGCTACCACCAATCATTAATATTTTGTAACCTTTACACACATACCGTCAGCAAGGCAAAGTTACACAGATGGCTCATGGACCTGGCAGTTGGCGCCACATGTTACAGTCCGAGCTAGAATCAGGCACTTCCTGTATTGTGTGCCATTGTCTGAAGCCTGGCGACGTTTACAGATGTCCCGAACAGAGACACATACATTAAGATAAATGCATTGATATTTGCATAGCTGTGAGTCATCAAATTTCTTTTCTCATCTAATAAATATTTCAAACACACATACCCAAAACGTTTGTTCATTACTTCAACAGCCCTGTTATTTATTAAATAGACGATAAACTAACGATTTTTACCGGTTTCTAATAACCAATGAGTTGCGACATGTGGTTTCCTTAGATTTTCATCAATTACAAAAATTAAAAATTACAAAAACATAAGTAATATATATATAAGAAAGGCAAGTAATACTACGTACAATTCTTTCACTCGAGTACCTAAATTAAACAGATTTTGTCAATTAAAATGGAACCTATGACAGACTTTTATATCCGCAGCGGAATGTGACCAGTCAACGAGATGCAGAGCCAACAGCAGACATGACACACTCAAATTTCTTGTTTTACTATGCATGAAAAATGGATCTTGGATAAGAAAAAAAATACCTAAGTTAACTTAAATTTCGTTTGTTAAAAGTTGCCTCTTGGATGTAAGATTTTATAGACGTCTGTCTGTTTAAGTCATTGGTCCTAGATTTGTCTTAAGTCGAGTTTGTTTGTTATTGTCCTTTCTGAAAATGCTTGTCTCATTTAAAAATGGGTTCGTGCATATGACCTGTGTCTCTTAAAATCGCTTTAAGTCTTGCTGGAATAGGTAAAATTCACTCTACAAAGTTTAATGTCAAGACTCTTTGTTGAAATTAAAGAAACTCATTCGTAATTGGATTTGTATGTCTGTTCTGACCTTTTGCTGGCCCCTTAAATAAAACACACTAACAGCTCACAACACATGCATGTTTGTATACTACTTAAGAGTACTATTATAGCATCCGTAACAATAGTGCAGATCTATTGTTAGTTGAACGAGCCAATGTCTCCATGGTAGAGACTTTTCTAATTATTATACAATTATATACCTATTGTACATGTCATGTAGCATTAACACTGAGAATGAAAAGCAAACCTACATATGTATGTTATGTGTTATTATACAATGAATAACCCTTCAGAAAACCAACACCTGTTTGTTTTCTAACTTCTATTTTTATTTTATATTTTATTCACCTCCTTTTGATTGTAAGAAGATCGGGAATAAATATCCCAAAGTCTTACCACGACAAGTTTTCCTAATTCCATACTGATTCAAAACTTATTGCAACAGATTTAAGACATGTTTAACGTAGACATAACCTAGTATTATCAGAACCGCATTAACTACCAAATCCCGAGTGCTGGTTACGTACAATCATAAGGAAGACTATTCATTATAAGCAATGTTTTAATGGAGACATTGATTACTTTGGCGATGATATCTAACCACATATCTTAAGTAATCGAGTTTAAATAGAATACTTTGAAGATTAGAAATTGACCTTAGTTACTATTTAGTCAATTATAAATTAACCCTGCTGATTGTGTGATCCGGAAATTTCGATTAGGAAATCCTCTTATCCTTGCATAAATCGATGATTCTCTACTTTATGTTCATTAGCTCAGCCAAGCAGACAGCAGCTGTAGGCACTGATTGTCGTGACCTTGTCGTATCTCCAGCACTCGATGTCAAGGACAAGTCAAAATGTTATAAGTTTTGGTATCGAAATACAATGAAATTCAACGTCTTACATATGGCGTATATACATATTTCAGGAAGGATATTTTGCTATCGAATGTATCTTATAATAGTTGTCTGACATCGAATCTCCAAAGTACTGTGGGTAAATGTTGTTAACATCTACTCTGAAATAAACCGCAATCCTTAACCATGTTTCTATTTTCTTACACTGCACGGTTTTCCATAGTTGGTGTCGTCGGAGGCATTGCTAAAATGAACCCAACTAACCCTGTATTATCAAATAGTGATGGACACTTTATTAGCTAATGTTAAAAGCTTACGAAAGAATAAATCGTTGCTATCGCATCGGTCCAATAACTCGTCTCGTTGAAAATGTTATGGCGATGAGTAATTAACTCTATAAGATGACCGGAAGTAGACGCCATTTGTCGTACTAAGAGACAGGAAGTCGATGCTCTGAAGAGTCTATCGAAGCAATTACATTTGCCGAGATACCTACCTTACTTAAGTATAAAGACCAAATATATATGAAATCGATAGGTACACTACAAGGTTCTTTAGTGATGGACGTTAGTCTGGGTTCCTACAAAGTTTTGTAATGATGAGGAATTGATTCCAGGTAATTGATATGCTTTACAGACGCGATAAGGCTTCATGGAGGATTCGTGATGGTAGGTAACAGCAGGAAAGTAGACAAACTCACAGCAGACCTGCTTAAAACATGCAATATTCATAACTCCACGGCAACAAATTCCATTGTGGAACAGATGGAATTTCACTATATGAGGATCAAAGGTTTCATCCATTTACCTGAAACGGGGACGACTATTAAAGATAAATAATGCACGCAATTTGTCCAGGCCTTACGTACGCCACTATGATGCTTTTACCAATAATATAATTCGTATTGGAATAAATTTTCATTCTTCAATAAAGAAAAAAACACGTTCGTAGTTTAAATGGTTGCGCTTCAGTAAAGAAAATAGATTACTATTTCTTGTCAAAGATTTCATGTTTTCATGAGATCAGGTTTAGTTAATCTACACCAGCTTATCGATTTTTTAATATCTGTTCTCTGATCCGCTTCAAACTTCGATGCATCAACAGCACATTTAGCAATTTTATTATTCTTGCATTTTTAGACATTTTGTGAAGCGGGAGTTACCTTTATCCTATACCGAATCAAACGTTAGCTTCTTTATCTTGCGTCTTTGTTGAATTTTGTTCGGTAGTTCTAGAGCATATATAAATCAGGGCATAAAAACACATTTACAGTCTTGAACACACCATCGATAGGTATCTTCATGAAAAATCATCAGCCATTTCAATGTTTCAAACAGATATCAGTTTTTGTTGGTTTTTAACGATTAAAACAAACGATACAACAAATATTTTTTCCACATGTCAACTGTATTGAATTTTTGTCACATACATGTTCAACGTGCATAATCAGTAACAACTCCACTACGAATTAACGTGGTAAATATATATATATATAAATCTACAAAAACGATGATGGTTCGTTGACGAAAGGTACGTATACAAATATGATAATTTACTTGGGTACTTTCGGTATAATTAAGAACTACAGACATTAAACCGAAGAGTGACGAAACATTCCTAAATCACCTACTAATGCACTTGTTTGATGTACGACGGAATGTTGAGGTGTAGAAAAATATGACACTCGGAACACATCTAGATTTTTCTCTACCATTAAAAAGAGTACGAACATTTACGACGACAAAAGAAGATACGTAGTATCTGATTGTGCTAGAAATATTCGTGTTAATTACGAATACTGTAATTAAAACCTTAAATACATAATTATGAGAATACAAAAAATCACTGACCATATTTTATTTCGTATAAAAAGTCAAATTTTCTGTATTTTTCTACTGCATGGAAAGAAATACATATTTCTTTTGAACGCAGGCATCAAACACAATGAACGGTATCAAAACAGGTAAAAAAGAAAATCATAATTACAAATGACAACGATAAAATGATAGACTTATAAAAGTAACTGGAATGGTGGACACTATACCGGTAGTAAATCTGTTTTGTCAAAATACTTCATGACGTCATCAGTCAAAGTTAGGGAGTCTTCTGAACGTGTGTCGTCCTCCACCTCTACATAATGATTACGTAGCCGATCCAGACACGATTCACTCCTAAATATACCAATGCATGTCTTGTATGGCCCTACCTGACCAGAATTTAATTTGCAATCACGTCCCTCCGATAAATTGTATAAAGACTTCACACGAGTCAGTTCTCGGTTCCTATGATCCTCTAATAGCAGGGCTTCTGAATCACAATCTATCACAACGTTCTCAGGAGACGCTTCGGCGTCTATAACAAGAGAACATGCGTCGGGTGAATTACACGCAGGGTCCTTTGTTAAACATGCATCCGGCAAATCACTCTCATCCTGTTCTTGTTCACATGAACCTTCCTGTATTGAAACCCTCCGTAATGTGTACCCCCTTGCATCCGAATTGTTGTGGTCTTGCATATTGTCCTGATGAGACGCCTCCATGTGTACCTGAACTTTCGTTAAATGCGTCCCATGTGAAAACACAGGCGAATCTGGGGAATGTGTAGGGCCTATTTCTGTCATTTTGATTGTTTCAGTAGGCGAGTCTCTAAAAGCTGGATTATCACATCCTGTAGTATCGTCTTTCGTTAAATTACCCATGTTTTCCTGAAAACTCTTTGATATTTCAGAATTATTTACAAATTGAGACCTGCATTTTTTCGATGCCCGCATCGCTTCTCTGATGGCACTTTTCGGACGAATATTTGGGAGGGAAGACGTCTTCAACCAAGACTCCCTCCGTGTTACAGCTATGGGCACTATTCGTACTCGTTCAACCTGTTTTGCACTTATTGGCACTGAAATTGACATGTTTCTGTCCCTGTCCCGCCATTTCCGTTGCATTTCTGGTGTAATCAACAAAGCCGGCGTACTAATGCTGAGTGCTTTAAATAATGTCGGTAATTTCTTCTCCATTGGATTTTCTTTTTGATCTGTTTTCGATTTTAATGGCACTTCAATTCCCCGGAAATAGTTTTTCCGAAATTCACTTATGATCATATCATATAATTCATCCTTTCTAAGCTGTTTGACATCTCTGTCCGGTAGAATATGCGTCACATATTTGTCCTTAATTTCACAATAGAGAACAACTGCTACCATCATGACGAAGAAACCAATACCCATGAACACCGGGCCGATATATGTTAACACTTTGAGGTTAGGTAAGTCAGGTGCTGAGCTGACCAGTACAGAAGGTTCGGTTATGTTTGTAGATGATATATTAGAATTGAAAGTATTCGTTGTTTTTGTTGAGTATCCTAGAAATTTGCCTGGGTTATAACCCATTAAACATAAAAATGTTCCACCACATATTATCATAAAGCCCACAATGGTTCCAATAAACGTTGGGACGAGGCATGGCATTCGTACATACTCGACTAAGTTAACCTTGTGCTTAGGTTGTCTACTCTTGGGCCGTGACGTGCCAGAAAACCAGCTCTTTTTATTTGGCTTTTCAAGATACACATGCGCACGGGGCACAAACATGGCTAAAATTACACATCTGCTTCATGCAGACGCTTTTTGTTCCACCTGTGTTTCCTATTCGTTGAGCCAAGAGGACAAGGGACGTAGACTTTTCTTGACATTTGGCAAAATTGATAGCCTTGCCCAGTAACGCCTCTATTGACTAATGGGACAACACTTTGCATAAGTTAGCATCCTCTCCAGCAGAGTTTTATACCCAGAACCACCGACAACGTGAAAACACAATCTTCTCTTCATGGGCACTGTAAATATTTAATAGACGCCTGGCTTCCAAACCTGAAAGTAGACAAAATAAACGACATGGTCAATAAGTAGAAATACCGTTGAGATTTTTGTGCTATTTGGTATGTACAGTTTATGATAATAAGCTTTCATGACAACTTCAATGCATGTATGCTGCAAATCCTTTAGAAAGAACATAAAATAAATATAGAATAGAGAAAGGTTTTGCTGACTTGGCGTTTGAACGCTATTCGACCATTAATGTATCAACTTCAAAGCATATATCGCTACACACATAAACAGTGTAAATATGATAGAATTAAAGATGCCCCCTTAAATCCCTTTAAAAATACAAAAAAGCACCCCATAAAACACCACCACCTCCCCTCCCAAATCCCCCTTTTCCTCAGAACAGAATTGGTTGATATCGTATTTTTTTCACTTTTCTGCTAAAATCCATTTTCCGAAGATCAAGAAACAATTTTAGATATTTATCGTCGAGACAGAAAAGTATCTTAGCATTGAACTTCCGTTAAAATCACTTGACTACGACGTCATAAAATGAAAAAAAATAAATGAAAAAAATAAATATAGATTGCCATAAGTGAGTAATTCTACCTTACAACTACAACTGCAGATAGACATAGTATATAAAAACACAAAAGTCACAGATAGTAGGTTGGAAAAAAATCTTATCTTCAATTGTGATCTATTTCCGATCAAACCTGAATTTCATACACTTTTTAGATCAAGAAAAATGTCTGATATGTACTTGTCTAAATAGAATTATTCTTGCGATATATAGACAAATGATATATCTACTGTAACATAGATCTCAGAGGAGAATTTAAATTATTTCACGAATTCTGAAAAAAAGGCCTTTCAGAGAATGTCACGACGACTGCATCATGAACTTGTTATTAACAGTGGTATTTGCAATAAATATGAATTCTATCGATATACATAAAGTCCTTTGTTGTATTAAAATGAATCTCTCAACTTATCAAGGTTATAGCAGAGACTACGCGGTTTATCTTCACCGCCTATTGACATAATAACCTATACATAACTATTACAAGACTTAAGGAAACATAAAAGATAGGTTTCCGTTGTGAAGCCCTCAAATAATTCTTCCATGAGAAAATCTCATTATGGTCAAGTAAAAACGATAAACATTTTACGCAAATGTAATATTTTCCAAACGGATTCTAGTGATTTTTCTTTCTACCATTACACTAGTCGAAAAATAGCCAAAGAGCTTTCCTACTGACGACAGTCGCTGCTAAATTTGGTAGCCATGCATTGCTTCTCTATTAACTGGCGAAACATAGTAATTGAAATATATCAGCAACAAAAAAAAAGATAGTACAAAAGTCACACAGGTGAGTAGCATCTTTCAACGCGAATCAAGACGAAGATAGAGTAGAACCAAATAATGTATTAATCAACATTATTCAGATGATTCCAGGACCTGTCAGCGATGCAGAGGTCTCATATTGTTGAAAAACTAGGAACTGGCTAAGGAAACTAATCAAGCTGAAATACGTGGTTTTTTTATTCAACCAAAATTTTCATCAGGTTGATAATATCACTAAAAGAACTTTTATTCCAAGAACTGAAATGGGTTATATAGAATATATAATCCAACTTCATCATTGAATATGTCTGACCAACATTAAGTCGCATGTCATCAAAATGTTAAAGTGTTACAATTCAATCCTCATTGAACACGCTGTAGAATACCGGTACGGGTATTTATCTATTGCCAATGTCGATAGACCTACGATGGTCATTTTGCATCAATAATTTATAAAGGACAGTTAAGTCTGTAGTAAAAGATTAATGTATAACCGGATGATATTGTCTGGCTGGTTTAGTCAGTAGTGTGTTAATTAGAGGAAATGGCAACAAGAATACTTTGGTTACTACAAAGTTTGAGTTTGTGAGAAGGAGGTGATTACAACGGGTATAAATGTGTAACTTGTCTTCCACTTTATTAACTGACCATCAACAACAATGTACCAAAATGACCTCAGTGCTGACAGATGGTTCAAGAGAATTATAAAAACCGATTTCAACCAAAACCATCCAAACTCAAATTGAATAAAACTACGCCTAAAAATAAAAAGATTTTTTACACGAATACTCTTGAAAAAACACATGGAGAATAAGACCAGTTATTCCGTAAATTACAATTAGAATCTATAAGACTATCAATATCTTAACTGCCAATAAAATATATTCTGTGTAATCTGTTGATAAAATAACTAAGAAATAAGTTAAGATTTGATAAGGAACCCCGGCAAGAGACAATAAACAATATACTTGCTGTGTCAAGTGTCAATTTATCTAAACTATTATCATACAAAGATCCGCGTTCTCTATTGATACCATATGTTGTCAAGTGAGGCAGTCACCAGCTAGTTCAGGGAATGGCAGCCTCGAAATCACCCTGACTGTTCACAGGGCGACAAACCCCAGTAAATCAAATCATCCTGGCTGTTAACGGGGCGACAAATCTCTGTTAATCATCTGTTAATGAATATGTAAATGTATAATTCTCTATGCAACTATATTTACTCTTGCACATCTTGTCTATATTAAAGAGTTTGTCAGTATTTTATTATTGTTTTTGTTTTTTCCCCTAATTCATCGTGAAATTTACAAAATCTTGGGACTAGTGCGTCTTCCAATCTAAATCCTCAACATTAATTCTATCAATTATTTATTTTCCTCTGTCTCCCAAAGGCTTCAAAATTTAGGCCCTTAGCACAACTGACGAGTCCTAGCAGGACTTGACAGCTGTGTGATGCGGTTTAATTCATTTTTTGCCTCTGATTGATGTCCTTCACTTGTGTGTTTTTGTACAATCTTTAAATTCCAAAGTTACAAGATGGTGGCTCAGGCTCTGATATTCAACATTGTTTGAGATAAATGCTTCCATTTCCCTTAGTCGTATAATTCTATTAAACAGAAATAAAGGTTAGTTTGATACTGTCTTCCCTTTTCAACAGGGTGTAATTCTTCATGAACATGTCCATTATTTTGGTATTCCAAGCCCTGGCTGGCAGGCTGCCTTTGGTCTGGAGCCGGCCTTGGAATAGATGTGCAACGGTTGATGATTGGGAGGTATTGACCACAAAACGTCTCCTTTAAGTCGCCTTAACATTTATCTCAGCCCCAAGGAGTCGGTGTAACCTATCATCGCAAAACTAATTAATAGCTCTTCATTATCATCACGCGGTTCGTGGAGACATTTTCAAACAAATTGATTAGCAACATGGACTTTTTTCAAGGTTAAATGGGCAGTTACTTAGTTTTACGACTTGAAGGAACTTTTCCATTAACACAATGTGTATAGAGTCACTATTTCAACATTGCCATTTCTTGTTTACCTTTAGTTTTCGTATTAGCTGAACAATTCATCTTCATATTTTCTCTGACAAACAGGAATATGGAGATTATGGAGACACATAGTCCTGTAGCTTGTACGCCATCAATGACCATTTTGGTCTGACTATCCCCTGACATAATAGGTCTTCTACGCAATTGATGCATTACAAAACACATATTCTGAATACAATTGTTCCTAGATTAAATGGCTAAGGATACAATATCCTTTAAAGAATTTTAAAAACAATAAATCAAAATGCGGTTGTGGTCAATGTATTCCAGAAAAGAAGTAGACATTTAAAGGTCCCTCTCATGGAACACAGTGATCTACAATTGTTCTATCTCACAATCCAAATACATTACATAAACTTCATCAGTGAAAAACGTGATCAGCAGAAAATAAAACCGGTGAAATATTCATTTTCGTACAATTGTTAAGAATCGTATTGAAAGTAATATGATATAGCAATTGGAATTGAAAAAAACCCAAACTAACCTACATCAGGTATAACAATTAAAAAAAGGCATCAGCTATAGCACTTACCATCATATATAACAATAGACACCATATATGACAATAGTGAATAAATGTACAAATAGACATTAGATACAACAAGATGTACCAGATATCATAGCAGGTATCAAATATGAACATAGGCATCTTGTATTTCAATAAACTGATAAGTACTACATATAACAAAAAGAACCAGGTTTGCCTATAGGTGCCAAATAAAGCCATGGTAACCAGATATACCAAAATGCACTAGATATGACAAAATGAACCAAATATAACAATAGGCATCAGATATGACAATAGTAACCAAATATACCAATATGCACCAGATATAACAAAAGGCACTAAATATAATAATAGTAACCAGATATGACATTAGGTTCTAGGTATATGAATGAGCACTACCGTGTCAATTAAGCGAATCGCGGGAGGTTATCTTCACTGCGTCCAGTCATGCAAGAATACCATTACCTTGATTGTTATTACAATAGGTTTGCGGTATGTTGTGTGTTGCCTTGTAGAATATACATGACTTTATTTGGTTCATTGGTCGTCTTCTACGTCTGTAGCCATGTCAGTCGCGAGTCAAACACATGACCAGCATAAATACGGCGAATTAGGTCAAAATACGCCTCCACAATCAAGGCAATTATCCGAATTATGTCAATGAAGGTCGCCACTGTCGTGTCTACCGCCCTACTGACGTAAAGGTGTGTTTTAATTTAGAAACATACCTTCATGTAGAATAATAAAGGTGTGTCAGGCAACACATTGCGTATTATTCATCACAAGCACATGTATTCAGATTTCCAACCTCTTCTGTGTGGAATATTATATTATATTATTGTAAAATGGCAACTGTTTATTTCAA